GGCGCCTTCTTCTCTACCCCACAGCTCAGATGTCTCTACAGTGCTAAACGTTCGTAATTCTACCCGGGACATCCGCGAGAGAAAGAAGGAAGGCCTTGAGGTTTCTCGGGTCACGGCATCAACCCGTCCTTGGCCACTTTTGAGGCTTCCAGTCGCACCAACCCTTCCCTGAGGCTTCAGAGTCTGCAACAGCCGCAGGAAGAGGCTGCCCCTCCACATGGTGCTTGGCGATTCCCCGGGAAAAATCCCGAGGAGGCAACAGAATGTTCGAACATGCAACGTTCCAAAAAGAAGGGGGGGGGGGTCTACAACAGGAAACTCTCTCTCCTCACTGATTGGAGGGTGTAAATTCAACATATTTTAGGGATTGGCTGCCTTTCTCACGTGACAGGCAGGACAGCTAGCGCAGGCGCTGTTTGGTAAGCAACGCCAGGATGTAAAGGGTTTAGGAGTCTTTTATTAAATACAGAGGTACCTGGATTTCAGGACAATCTCTTTCCTGCCATCTTTTGGTCATCTTTGTATTTGCACCTATTACAACCTTCGTTCTACGAAGTGGTGAATTTGTTCCCGGGATCCAGCTTTTATGTTATCGGCTCTGATTATATTTGATTGGAGTGTCACATGTTTCAGAGATGAAGGTGAAACTACAGTTTAAGATGGATGCTTGGATAAGTGCCTCAGCTGCTTCCAAGTGCTAAACATCACTAAAAAATTTAAATTAATATTTTGGAATTCTGTAGGATAGGAGATGCCTTCACATTTTCAATAGTGATCTCTGTTAATCCATACAAATAAGGATTGCACATTGGCACTTGTAAAGCATTTATTTAGACACAGCTTTTTAATTTTTTTTTGAAGTTCACTCATTTTCAAGAGTTATGTTTATTTACAAATGTACAAAATAAATGTAGCACAACATGTGCATCCCAAGCCATTTATTATCTTCCAGGCCAGTGGTGAGTGCTGGCTAATTCCTTTCAACCCAAAGGGTGGGGTGTTAAAGTCTGGGATTGTCAGTGAAGAGGGCTTGGCTTTTGGGATGGGCAGGACCAAATCTTCCTGCATGCTCATTCACTTACATATGTGGAGAAATGGCACAACCAATATCAGTTGGCAGACTTAATAAATGTGCATTATTCTCTGCATGTAACTAATCTCCGCCATAAGGAAAAATTCCTTTGCTTCGGCTCTATGCATGTTGTATTGGTATTGGTATTTATTCGATTTGTAAGCCGCCCTATTCCCCGAAGGGACTCAGGGCGGCTGAACAAAAAACAAGGGAAGGGGAACAAATACAGAAAAGTAAGACAAACAGGACAGTGATACAACAATTTAAAAAACACAGCAAGCACAGCAAATTCGAGTGGGGGGGGGAACTCAACCCCAGGCTTGTTGGGACAGCCAGGTCTTAACGGCTGTCCGGAAGGTCTGAAGGGTGGCGAGGGTCCGAATCTACACGGGGAGCTCGTTCCAAAGGGCTGGAGCAGCCACAGAGAAGGCCCTCCTCCGGGTGGTCGACAGCCGGCATTGGCCGGCAGATGGAATTCGGAGGAGGCCTAATCTGTAGGATCTAATGGGTCTATGGGAGGTAATTGGCAGGAGTTCTATATTCTATATCATAAAATGCAAGGTAACGTGCCTTATCCTGAACATAGCTGAAATCAAAATAAAATATATCTTGCTTCCTGAGTCAAAATTGGGACTCTAAAGCACTCTGCTTATTGAAACATCCATATTATCTGCAGCAAGAGACAGATCAGAAATATGAGTGCCATTTTTCATGCCAAACAGATAATTTAAACATAGTTCTCGATTTAATGACCACAATTGAAGCCAACATTTTTGCTGCTAAGTGCGTTTTGCCCCATTTTACAACATTTCTTTCCGAAATTGTTAAGTGAATCATTTTGGTTGTTAAATCAGTAACACAGTTGTTAAGTGAATCTGGCTTCCCACTGACTTTCCTTGTCAAAAGGTTACACAGGGCATCACATGACCCCAAGGCACTGCAACCATTATACATATTGAGTCAGTTGGCAAACATCTGAATTTTTATCACATGGCCATGGGGATGTTGCAACAGTTGTAAGTGTGAAAACGGTCACAAGTCACTTTTTTTCTGAGCCATTGTAATTTTGAATAGTCACTAAACGAACTGTTATAAGTTGAGGACTACCTGTATCATGCTTTCTAATGCTACTATAAACTGGGATAGCAAGTGTTCTTTGTGCTAGGATTCACCTGAGTAAAAATGTTTTCCTTTAGGCACTTGTTTGATGAGATCTGTGACCCCATTCACTGGGTTTAGTAAATGTCTTGGGTTTTTTGTTTTTTTAGACTTATATATCGCTTCATAGGGCTTTCAGCCCTCTCTAAGTGGTTTACAGAGTCAGCATATTGCCCCCCCAAAACAATCTGGGTCCTCATTTTACCCACCTCGGAAGGATGGAAGGCTGAGTCAACCCTGGGCCAGTGAGATTTGAACAGCTGAACTGCAGAACTGCAGTCAGCTGAAGTAGCCTGCAGTGCTGCATTTAACCACTGCACCACCTCGGCTCTGCCGAGGTCTTAACCTGATGTTCAAGCCAGATCATAAAATAGTGCAGGACAACATCATGCTAAGATAATACTGTATTCTTCTGAGGAAAGAGTTGGGGGTGTATGTGTCTAGCGTAGCCACAGATGGATTAGATAGATAGTATGGAAGAATTTAAGCAATTTCAATATTAATATTGAATAATATTAATAAATGTTTTAGCATGAAAGGGTTCAATCTACTTCAGAAAATATTTAATAGCAAGTAATCAATCATATTTTTAATTCCTCATTGCTTGAAAATAAATATATTCTATTTTCTTTGTTTTTCAGGTCTTTCTGTGAAGAATTACAGAACCTGTCTTTGTGTCCTCCTTTAAAACAGTTGGCAGAGGAGCTGAATCATTTCTTTGCTTGCTTTGAAGTGGAGACATCAGAGACAGCTAAAATATAGCCACCAGCCCATTGTAGTGCCCTCCTCATTGTGGAGGAACAGGAGGTGAGGAGCATTCTGAGAGCTGTGTTCCCTAGAAAGGCTGCAGGTGCTTACGGTATCTCTGGCCGAGTGCTTAAACACTCTGCTGATCAGTTGGCGGGAGTCTTTACCAGAATCTTCAATCGGTCTTTATCCCAGTCTTGTTTGAAGGCTTCCACCATTGTTCCGCTGCCATAGAAGTTTCCTGTCAGTAACCTCAATGATTAGAGACCAGTGGCACTCACTCCTATCATCATGAAGTGCTTTGAGAAATTGGTCTGCCAGCACATCATTTCTGGTGTTCCCCATACAGTTGATAAACATCAGTTTGCATACAAAGCAAACAGAGGATGCTATAGCCATCACTCTTCACGGTGCTCTAACTCATTTGGAATAGAGAGGGGGCTATGTGAGGATGCTTTTTGTACACAATATTGTGCATTTAACACAATACTTCCACATAGACTAGTGTCTCAATTTATGGATTTTGGACTTTCTTATTCAATCTGCTTTTGGATTACATTGCAGCACTGGTCAAAGGGGCCCAGCAGAGATTATATTACCTGAGACTTCTCAGGAAACAACAACTGAATGAAAAACTGCTGTTGACCTTCTACCACTGCACCATAGAGAATATTTTAACTTTCTGCACCTGTATATGGTTTGTTAATTGCACATTGGCAGATAGGACAGCACTCCAGTGTAAACGTCATTGCTCCCGCTGCCCTAAGAAAGTTCAAAACATTCTTAAAGATCCATCTCATCCTGAGCACCCTTTTTTTGAACTATTACCATCTGGCAGACAGTACAGGATAATAAAAACAAGGACAAATATGCTGAGAAGCAGCTTCTATGCCTTGGCAGTAACAATATTAAATTCTACTCATTATGCAATATTAATGCAATATCGGATTTTCAATTCAATTGTACAGGATGTGAAGGATGTGTGTTTGTGTTTTATTTTTATAATGTGCACTGAACATGGCATTTAATTTCATTGTATGAGGTGCAATGGCAATATAGTAAACTAAAATAAACTAAAACAGATTTCAACTTGTACATCAAGGGCCAAGTGAGAAGGGAAAGAAAATGTGTAAATCAAAATCAGGATGAAAATAAATTCACAAGTTCCCTCTTAAAGTCTTTTCATCCACAATTGTGAGAGTCTGGTCCCACCTAATATTTCATAACAATTCTAAAAAGATACATATTTAGGAAGTAGAGACAACGCTGGTAGACATAGCCACTTTCTTCTCTTCTTAGTATACAAGAAATTCCCTTCTAATGCACTAGAGTGAACTTCTAAAAGCAAGAAGATAGAACCAAAAATTATATATCTTTATATTATTCTCCAAGCTGTGATTAAATTGTATATTAGTTAAACAGAAGGATATCCAAAGCATCCAGTTAATGGCTATCCTAATACAGTAGTCCTTGACTTATGATCTCAATAAACCCAAAAATTTTGATGCTAAGCTAGACAGTTATTAAATGTGTTTCGTCCAATTTTATAATCTTTTTTGCCACAGTTATTAAATGAATGACTCAGTTGTTAAATTAATAACATGGTTGTTAAATGAATCTGACTTTGCCATTGATTTTGCTTATCAAGTGGTTGCAAAATGACCATGCAGTGCCCACATGATCCTGGACACTGCAACCATCATAAATATGAGAATTGGCAAGCATTTGAATTTTGATCAATTGACCATAAGGATGCTACAATGGTCATAAGTCACTTTTTTCAGGGTAACTTTGAACAGTCACTAAATGACCTGCTGTAAGTTGAGCATTATTGTAATTTTCAAACTAATTTTAAAATTTGTTAACTTGAAGCTGAGTATACATGATGAAGAAAAATTGGATTGAAGCATGATCCTAGCATGCTGGCACAGAAAAAAAATTCCTCTAAATTCAGTAGAATTCACTGCAAGCTTAAATTGCTTAGTAAAAGAAAAACACTCAACCAAGCAGACATTTATTGAACCCCAGGAGTAAATTTTATTTATTTATTTGTTTGCTTGTCAGGCAGTATTGATTCCCAATGACAAATTTCTGCAATAATCCAATATACTGAATATAGTACCCAATATAATGTACCCATTATAATGTATGTGTTGTATGTGTTTGGGTAGATATATATTGTCTCCTGAAGAGCAGGAAACAGAACTTTTAATTCCACATTTTTAATGGGGGCAGGTGTGCTCACAGGAAAAAAAAGGAAAATAAATGTTACCTTATCTTATAAATGATTCATTAACTGATACATTATAGCATATCCAAGATAAGTCAACTAATATTACATTATGTTCTGATATTTTATAATTTCAAGTGTATTGAACAATAGCTTTTATTTTGTATGTAATGCAAGTATGCCATCTTTCCTCCCTTTTTAAGAGCATTCCTACAGTGAATTGCAGTTCAGTGTAAAGCTTGAAATTTTAACATGCAATTTTAAAATGTTAACTTGAAGAATTAGACAATTCCCGGCTTGCTTTTCAGCAGAGGGTCTCTCTCATTGCCTCTTGGGAAAAGAACAGCCTTGACATTATTGAAGTAAACGCTTAGTCCTTCGCTGGATTTCCCTTGACCTGTTTTTCTTTCAATAGGTTTATATTCTTTATATCTCCTGAAAAGAATGTGAAGATCAAGTTATTAAAAGGTTTTCCTGTTATATGAACAAAACTCAATAATTCCTAGATTGCATTATTCTTTTCTGTAAATTGTTATTGCACATTTATATTTGTGAAAAAAATCAGTGGGGAAAAGCTTTTAATACAGCTCTAGACAACAGTTGCTGAGAATATATATTAGAGTGAAAGAAGACACCAAAAAAAGAAAACTTCCTATTTTGTGCTTATAGAAATGTATTGCATCACTAACGAAATATACTACAGTACCGTGTTTCCCCGAAAATATCCTGAAATAAGCGCTTGGCCTTATTTTCAGGGAAGTCTTTATTATTTTTGAGGTGCAGGAAGCAGTGAGCGTGGTCATCTCATGGTTGCTGCTGTGTTGCAATATTTTTGGGGAGGGCTTATTTTGGGGAGGGCTTATTTTAGTGCATGCACTCAAAAGCCCACTAGGGCTTATTATCTGGAGAGGTCTTATTTTCAGGGAAACAGGATAGTAAGTAAACGTTTTCAGAGTTCTTCCATAAAGAAAAAATATATATTGTGCCATCGCGAGATATATTCTTTATGTGAAACCTTTTAAAAATCAGGGACAATGGGATATTGCAGTTACAGAGTCAAACTTATAGGCAGCAACTGTGGTTCAAATTGTCATTCACTCCTGACACTGAGAGATCTGTGGGGTCATTAGTATTCTCTGAACTTGGTTGTTTTTCTTGCAAACATTTTATTTCCCAACTAAGAAACATCATCACGACTACATTTTTTTTGTATCTTGTTTTTGTCTTGTTTGTATTTTTGTATCTCCCCCTTCCCCACTTGTTTGTTAGCCGCCCTGAATCCCCCGGGAATAGGGCGGCATACAAGTATAATAAACATACAAACATACATACATACATGGGAGTGGAGTTTGCTCTCTGTTAGCTCTATATATACAAGTGGCTTACCCTGTTAGTATTGGTAGGAATGTTCTTAATAATTTCTTGATTAGACTGTTCTTTACTACTTGTAAAGAACAAGAGAGGAAATCTCACCTCTTTTTAGTTGTGGTGATATTACCTAGTTGGGTAATGAAATGTCTGCAAGAAAACAACTGAACTCAGAAAGCACTAAGGGCCACACAGTTCAACTCTGAACTAGAAACATTTTCTTCTATTGATTAAGGGATAGCTATGATTTTTGGATTATTATTTTCCACTCCTCAATAGCACACCCAAGTAGAATTGCTCAACCCGTTACAGAAGATAGATAAGTTTTGACCTTATTCCCAACAATCTTAAATATATTGTATCCTCCATCCAGTAATATTTGGGAGCTTCTATGAATAATTTAAACAGCAACATGAAGAAAACAGAATGTAAATATAAAAAATAACATGAGGGAGGTGATGGGTTGGGGTGTTTTATATCTGAGGAGTAAGTCGGACAGAGAAGGAAAGCTACTGGATTTTTGCTTTTTTCTATGGGTAAATAGAACCCACCTTCTGTTACAAATTTTTACATCAGTATTATTTGAGTTTGAAAAATTTATAAATCACTAAACCAATGGTCTGATTCATGTTAATGACTCTACCAAGCCACTTACTTGTAAAGGAAGAAAATCAGTAAACTACCAAGCACCACCAAGAAACCACCTGTAACCAGAATTCCTTCTGCTGTTCTTGAAAAGGATGCTTCATCTTAAAGAATAAATTAAAGAAAACAGAATAAAGGGAACTTAATCAGTGAATAATATATTCTTATAATGCTCTAGCTCAGTGATGGTTAACCTTTTTGGCATCAAGTGCCAAATCTGGTGTGCATGCATGCTGGAGCACCGGAACTCAGAAGAGAGCAGCTGGCCAGTGCGCATGTCCATGGCCAGCAGCAGTTACTGCTGAACCCAGAAACTAACTCCATAAAAGGTTTCATTCAGAGGTGGGATGCTCCCAGTTTGGCCCAGATCAGCCGAATTAGTAATGGCGGCAGGAGACATGCGCAAACATCATGCATGAGCACACAGAGGAACACGCCTGAACCGGTAGTATCAAAATTGGTAATCCACCACTGGTTTCATTAATTAAGGAATGTTATTGTTTTAAATGGAAAATCTTGAGTGAATGGAAGGACCTCTATGCAGGCACACATGCACGGACACACATATTTCTTCTAAAAATAATACAACAGTAAGTATAGGAATGCAAGAAAAAATAGATTTAATGGAAAAGATATGAAGAAGAAAATAGTAAATTGGTATTAAATTAGGTAGGGAGCTTTTAGTTTACCATGCAAGAGCCAAGTGGTCTCATCCATGTAACACCACATGTACAGGACCAGCTGTCCAGCGAGCATATGTGCAATGGAATCCGGAAGAGCAGCTGGTGACAGCACACATGCTGACAGAGAGGGCTCTATGAGCCACCTCTGGTACGCGTGGCATAGGTTTGTCATCATGGCTCTACATGTTCTACATTGCTTGATATTGCAATCTCATTGGGTTCACCATGCCTGTCTCCTAATTAAAACTAATGCCTTTATTGTTTTTAATATTTTAAAATTATTTTTGTTTTGGAGGGAGGATGTCATTTTGTTATATTTTTTGTAACATCATTGTTACTCGGTCACATGACATGATGGTATATACATTTACCAAATAAATAAATATTATAAAATGCAAAGAAAAATAAATTGTTCCCCAAACTTATTTCAGTTTCATTACTTCCATTTATTTAGATCTTTCTTTCTATACTTCACTGAGTTTGAAAGGTAAGCAAAAAGTTATTCCTACAACACTGCTTCTCACACAGCACATACAGTAATAATTGAGTCTCTCATTCTACACTTCTTTAAATGCAGACATTTGGGAAAGTGTGGCCCTAGTAGAATCATTATTCAGATTTGCGCTGATAGAGTTAGGAAGGACCAAGAACTTCAGATAAAAAAGTTTGCTATGCATATTTATCATAAGAAGTACACTTTTCTTTATCTCAGGCACTCTAAACTTATATATTAGTGTAATGTTAGAATATGGAAAGGTTCTACCTTTTTACAAGCATCTGTTAATCTGTCAAACATGCAGTATCCCTTAGAGTTGAAAATTTAACAACTCTGAGAAATAACCATGCCAACTTCTGGGAAAAAAAAGGTAGCATTTACCTCCATTGATAGAGATCACAGTACTTGTGAGTGCTAGACTTGTTGCATCAGCCAGTGTGATGTTGACACAATAGGTTCCAGATTCATTGAAGGCTCTTCTTATGGTTAGGAAACATATATCGGCAACATCAACGGGGTGACATGACTCACTCTGTAAAATCGTACATGTGGGATCAGCAATTAATGTACAGGCATCTGTAGGTAGACTAGTAGGGGGAAGAGACAAAAAGAGATAAGGTAGTTAACCAGTTTGGATTGTGTAGAACTAATTAACTAATTGATGACATGTAACTTTTTTCATAACATGCCCAAAATAGTTCGGATCAATTTATTCTTTTTTAAGCATAGCATATATGTATTTAAAACAATTCAGTTTCGGTTCAAACAACAAAGATGACTAAACAGAAGTAAAATATTGCAATGATGCTATGATCATTATTATTCACAAGGAGGATAACTCTTTTAAACCTTCTAAAAATATTAATGCTCCAATGAATCTGTTTATAAATCCTAGTACACAGTTTACTGAATGTATTACAAAGAAAGCCAGATCAACTGCAAAAGACAATACATGGGGCTTTTCCATGTGGCAGCCTTTAGAATCTTGTCTGCATCTTGTAAACTGAATCTTACAAACTGCCTAGAAATAATAAATCCAGTTTAAAAGAACATATCCTGGATTTCATCCTCTTTGCTCTGGAGCAGAATTAACATGGCTCCTGAATGGTGGATTCAATTGTCTCCACCCCAATGGCAGTTTTTTGAGATAGGACACGTCAGGAAATAGATCAGGTCAGGCATTACAAGAATGCTACTTCATTGTTCTAAGATATAATAACAGAATATTGAAAACCTGACAGAGTTGTCCCTTCTTACACCAAAGATAATCATGGTAGGGTTATTCTAAGTTTCTTTCTCTTGTTTTCTTTTTTGCCAGGATGAATAGGAGTTTCATCTCCTATAAATGCATAATGTTTTCAAGATTAACTCCATATTCCTCTACATCTAGTAGTATCCATGGATGTTGGACTGCAGCTCTCTTGTTTCTCAGTCTTTGTGTGCAGCAATACACCAACACAGTGAACCACAATAGGACAATTCAGTTATACTGGTATTCCTGAGTCTTCTATATAGAGCTCTTTCAGTTAACTGAGAAGAATTATTTCACTGTATAGTATAAGATGCCAGAGTATGTAGGAATATTTGGAAAAGCATACCTCCCTTGACAGGTTACTACGAAATCAACCACGGAACTTCCAACTTGAGTAGCTGTCATCTGGACACTTGTCATTTGGATAATATTTACCTCAAGGATCCCATCTGTCAAAAATAAGCCAATGATAACATACCAATATTTTTTAAGGTGAAAAATTTGACAAGGAAAAGAAATATTTTTTCTAAATCGTAAGTACAAGAGAATTATAGTTTCTTGTTAACAATAGTTTCTGATTCGTTGATGCAAAAATAGCCAGAGTCAGCAAATTTTATTTGTTTTTGGTCATCATATTTGTGTTCTTGCTTCTGTCATCCAGAAAAGTTCTTTTTTATTTTTTGTTGACATGTAATCATTACAGAGAGAGGTTCAGGCATTTGACCTTTTAAAGCATCTCAGATCATTAGATGTTTAAATTCCAGCCCTAAAGAATTATATGAATGATCCATAATTCATAACCAAGAGAGTAAAAAGATAGGTCTGAAGCTATGGGTAGTTTTTATTGTTGCAAAAGATCATAGTGTCTCATTCTTATTTTAAAAAAAACCCAGCAACAGAATTACTCCTTGTCTTCCACACCATCACATAATAAGTTAGAAATTGGAAACTTTAAAAAAGTTTATTAAGATCATTTTCAATACTAAAACTAAATCCTTGGATTGAGCTTTTTCAATACTGTGTATATGTATTGTACATGTCTGACTTGCAAAAATGGAGTAGAATTTGATAATTTTGTTCACTATGGTACTTCTGCTAAGGATATGTACATTGTTATATTAAGAATGTTACTTTAAGATTAAGACTTGTCTTTCTTTTAAATTAAATGTTTTTTTTAAAAATTCAGTGGTATATTCATCATATTTTGAAAATGACTCTTAATTTGAACTTGCTGTATCAATCCAGGGACTGTACTTTTCCTGAACAAGGTGACCAAACTGAAGGTGGCAACAATAATACTGAAATTTAGTTTAAAATAATGTATATGGTGATACCTAGGTAAAGCGACAAGAACATTCCTAGCAAACACAAATATTACTGATGAGCTATTTAGTTAAATATTCCACAAAGGATAATTGGTAGAGTAGGGTCTTTTCTATTAATGGAAGAACTCTAGTGGGCAATGGAAGAAATCCCACCTGTACAAAGAAATCTCTTTTTGTTCATGGATGGAAGTCTTTATCCATAACACTATTGGTAATATGATTTTCAAAGCAAACAAAATAATATTATTTTAAGTCTTCATTTCAAAATGGATTCTACAAAGCTTTCAGATATTCTGTCCTTTGTTTACAGAAAAAATCTACCATAGCAGAAACCCCAAAGCCATTTTAATTATGTAATGAACACTTCACACACTATCTATGAAAATGATATTCTTCGTTTACTGATGTAGATGCATACCTACAATGGTAAGTGTTGCTTTGTAAGTTCCATATCGAGTGATACTGCACCTTTCAACAGGAGGTTGTCCTGTGGGCGCCTCGGTTACGTTAGGGGAGGTGGAAGTTGTATTAGAAGGCAACTGCGTAGTGAATGCTAAAAAAAAAGAAAGAAAAATTGTGGAGTTTTTAGATTTGCATCATAGAGCAAAAATAGTTTTTGTACCCTCTGTTTATACCAAGATAAAATGTGTATTACATTTATTTGATCGTCTTATTTTCATACAGAGACTTACATCCATATATATACCATACATGGTACTAATAAAGGAGAATATTTGTAGCTCAAGATTGACCTGAGGGGTCCTTGATGCTATCTGAGCTTAGTTAGTTGTCAAACATGTAAAAGATAATATGCATAAGTATAAACATAAATACGAACACAGTAAGTGGGTACGAATAAATGGAGACAGTAGGCACACTGGTGTGCTTATGCACACCCCTTACAGACATCTTAGGAATGAGGTAAGGTCAACAGTAGACAGATTAAAATTATGGAGGCTTGGGGATGTAACAACAGAGTCAGGTAGAGCATTCTAGGCATTGACCACTCTGTTGCTGAAGTCGTATTTTCTGCAATCAAGTTTGGAGCGGTTTACCTTGAGCTTGTATCTATTGTTTGCTTGTGTATTATTGTGGTTGAAATTGAAGTAGTTATTGACAGGTAGCACGTTGTAGCGGATAATTTTGTGCATTTAGATCAGACCATAGGCAGCATGGTTCTAGGTTCTCCAAGCCCAAAATTTCAAGCCTGGTGGAATACGGTATTCTGTTGTGAGCAGAGGAGTGGCGTCCTTTTCTTGTGAAATATCTCTGGACTCTCCCAATTGTATTAATATCTGATATACAGTGCGGATTCCAGGCAGATGAGCTGTATTCGAGAATTGGTCTAGCAAAGATTTTGTGTGCCCTAGTATGCAGTACAATATTACTGGAAAAGAAGCTGTGCAAGATTAGGTTGACAACTCTTAATACCTTTTTGGCAATGCTGTTACAGTGAGCTCTGGCACTTAAATTGTTTGACATGACTACTCCAAGGTCCTTGACATAGTGAAGGTCGTCTATGAGGTCATATCCACCCAGCTGGTATTTGGTGTTGATTTTTTTAGCCAAAGTGTAAGACAGATAATTTGTTGGTTGAGATTTGGAGTTGCCAATTGTTTGACCATTCTGACACATAGTCAAGGTCGCTTTGTAATAGCATTGTTGGTGGTGTTGAATAGTTTTACATCATCAGTGAAGAGACACAGTTGCTTATAATAGGATCGCAAAAATCATTTATGTAAAGTATAAAGAATGTGGGTCCCAAAATGCTACCTTGGGGAACACCACTGTGCAGGGTTTGATGAGGCGTTCGCTATTTTGACTACTTGTTGTCTATTTGACAAGAATGTTTCATTAACCAAACTAGCTAACATCCTCAATGCTAATGACTATCACTGGTGAAGTTACCTAGTTCGGGTGATGAAACATCTGCAAGAAAACAAGCAAGCTAGAGAGCACCAAGGATCCCTCATATACCATACACCTGTTCTCAGGAAGCAGAGCTAAGTTATTTTCTCACTATGAGGAAAATCATTCCATTTATTAACAAATACAGTAGTTCCCTTTGGAATAAAAATTCCTACTGTTGGCTCTTGCCTTTGAAGTCCCTTGATTTTGGCTTTATGTATCTGTGTTTTCCTGTTCTTTTGGAAATTTACTGGTACTCATTACAAATTTAATGCAAGCAACAGAAGAGGAAAGCTTCTTTACTTACTTGTTTATCTGTTTGTTTATTATTTGTTTATTTGTTATATTGTATGGCATCTATCAAACACAGTGATTCTAAGCGGCTCACAGTAACCAATAAAAACAATATAAAAATAAACCACACTCTTTCCACCAACATGCCAGAACTCTCCCAACTGTTAACATCCCGAAACAATTTCATCCTAGACCAGTGCTTGGGAGAAGAACCAGTCTTCAAAACCTTTTGGAAGACTAAAAGAATAAAGTCCTCCCAAATCTCAGGGAGAGGTTCTTCCAAAGAGATGGTGCACATATGAAAAAAGTTCAATTCAAGGATCCATTGGATGATATCATCCACAGGAGCAGAATCCAACCACCCTGTCCAAACTAGTAAGATGAGCAGATGCCCTCAGAGAGAAGCAGTCCTGCAAATAACAGTACAAGTAGTCCTCAACTTACAACCACAATTGAGTCCTAAATTTCTGTTGTTGAGCAAGACAGTTGTTAAGTCCCATTTGTCCCACCTTATGATCTTTCTTACCATAATTGTTAAGTAAATTCCTACAGTTGTTAAGTTAGTAACACTGTTGTAAAGTTAATTGACTTTGCTTGTCAGAAAATCGCAAAAGATGGGAAGAAGGCGGGGCTTAGCAGTGAGAAGACGGAGTTTCAGGCCATTCCTGAAATTCCCCTATTC